TTCAAGAACATTTTTCCTCTATTTTTTAAACAAATGGCGTATTTATGAACGTGAACTCGCTTTTTCATTCCGCTCATCGGTTGTGTCTTGATCATACCCCTACTCGGCTTCATATCGGATGTTTTCGTTCGTTTTCGGACTTCAGCGTTATTCGGATGAGTGCCCTACCGTAGTGACACGCACGACCCCTCTAATTACCAACACTCGGACTCGCGTTCTGTCTTATCCGTACTCACGGGCTCTGAAGATTATCAACATTCACGACTCTGAAAATTATCGACTCTCGCGGGCTCGCGACCTGTTTTACATACAGGTACGTGCTCTTTGAGCGTGATTCCGTAGCCGCCTCAGGAAAACCATTGTTGAAGCCTCTCCATAAGCCCTAGCAATCTCCCCCATAATCTCTGCACACACCACCCGCGTAGCTATTGTCGCTGTGTCAAAAAGTTTCCTCTGAGCAATAAACTATTCAGAGCGGCGAAATTGAATGATTAATTCATGAAATATGTGTTTTCGAAATGACTCTGCGAAATTTTTCGAAAACTGTCAAACCAATTTTAATTTTTCATACCTATTCTACTTGATGTACTCTATGGCAATGAATTTAACTATGTATATTTCTTCATGCTGAGTATTCGAGAAATGTAATTTTTTTTTTTCAACAATTTTGTAACCTGACATTTTCTTGGGAGACGGAAAATGCCCATTAAATAATAAATGCCCATTAAATAATAATAAAATCCTGCTAAAATTCAAAGTCATGGGCGCCAGGTAATTTTTGGCCGAAATTACCAAACCGGAGAACTCCCTAACGCTAAAAACAAATACCCTTGAAATTTATTACCCGAAAATCGTACCTCAAAACTCCAACTGTTTCATCTAAATTAAAAAAAAAAGAAAAAACAAAAAGGGAACGGAAAGGAGGATTAGGCTTGCGGGAAAGGTAACGTCCCGGGGTTTCTCAGTATGCCGGTTGGCGAGAGAGGGGTGGAACGTAGATGGGCACAGGGTCACTGGAAAAATCGGGAAAATCGCCAGAAAAGGAAAAAGGAGGCAAGAAATTAATTAATGCAAAAAAAAACATCGTCTTTCCGTGCTCGGCTATTGCAGGTCGAAATTCAGTACAAGAATAATAATCAATTATAAAAATTGTAACGAGCATCGGGGATGCCCGTTAGGATCCCCAAAAATGAGGGAGAGTGAGAAAATTAGGACATAGGTTAGGTTTAAGGAAAAACTAGGATTTCCCCCCTTTCGGGTGGTTTAGAGTAGGTTGAGGGTGAGAGGAATTTTTAGAGGATGCTAGAGTAAGCTCTCCGGGTCGGGTAGATCCGGCTAAAACGCCGGCGCTCCAGAAAAAAAGGGTTTAAGGGATTGATTGGTACGGGTGGAAGGCCGTACGGGGTAAAAATATTAACAACCCCGACGGATTGCCAAAGAATGATTACGGGGGAAGGTCGTACGGGGTAGATTCAGTCACTACCCCAACGAATTGTCAAGACTGAATACAGGTGGAAGGCCGCACGGGATAAAATCAGTCGTTATCCCGGCGGATTGCCGAAATTAATTAACGATTAGGGTTTAAAATATTACGCTTAAGGTTAGGAACTAAGATCTTTCAGTCCCGAGGATCCAGGGGATCCGATCACGAGAGAATGAATATCGCGAAATTAAGTTTAATGATGGGGAATTAATTCAAATTTCAATCAATTCCCCCGCGAAGGGCTTGGCCCAGAATAAGGTAGAGGGATCCACCAATCGACACCCGATCGATTGGTAGGCGTGATTAGGGGGTCAGCGCAACGCGACACTGACCTCCGAAAATCAGTTGCGCATTAGCCGCGAGAAAATACGCACGTGAGTGAAGTGGGGCTCCCACGACGTAACGAGAGTGATACAGTGCACCACCCAAGACACCAGGACAATTAGCTGCAGCCAGGATGGTCCGGAAGCGAAAAAGGAAGGCAACGAAAAGATCTACCATGAGTTTTTACGGTTTTATTTAAAGATTTTTCCCCTTTTGGCGGCTCTCCGATAATTATTGGCGGTTGTGAGATTTTTCCGAGCCATGGAAATAGCATCGGTTGTGCCCCCCAAATTTTGGGTGGTTTTGAAGAGGTTTGTGGTGGGTTTTTCCGAATAATTTCGGCTTGCATTATCCCCCAGTGCGGTTGGGAGGTTATTGGTGGGATTTTGGGAGGTTTTGAAGGTGTTTTCACGGTGATTTTTGGGAAATTGTCCACGGCCAACGAACAAGGCCAGTGGTTCTCCCTCGTGGCGCAATCGAAGTCGCCAACGGGCGGTTATGTGCAGCAGGTGGGGAATCGCGCGTAAAATTTCCTCGCGGTTAATAATGGATTCCACGGGGTTAATTATATACTTTTATGTCTAAAAATTTAGTGGGGTTGTGGGGAATAGTGTCCAGGATAATATTGTTCTGGGTTTTCCGGAATCGGCTCGACGGATTCCGACTTATCGAATTTTTAAGGGAAGTTGGAATGTTCGTGGTGGATTGCTCCTCGCTGCTAACCGAGCAGCGAGGCGTAGTGCCGTCTCTCTCGCTCTCTCTCTCTCGCGCGCGCTCACTCGTTGAGGGTCCGATTCCGGAAAATTATCAATTTCCCGGGCGAAAATAATATTTCGGTTATTCCTCGGATTATCGCCGATCGATAATCCTTGAGGCCGCATTCCGATGAGATTATTCTATACGAGTATGGGATAGTCAACAAAATATTTCGTATTTTGTTAAATAATTCATGTTCGCGGCGATTTAATGAGACAGTTGAAATGTTATTTCGGATTTTTGCGCGAATTCCTATTTCGCGATAATTGAAGAGGACAATAAAATTTGTATTTGGGAATTGATCGGAACGCTAACATTTAGAGAAAATTGAAATCGCAAACTAACATTTGGAAGCAGATTAGTCTAATAAAATTGTTTATTATTGATTATTCTTGTACTGAACTTTCACGTCAATAGCGGAACACGTAAGGACAATGTTTTGTTGCATTCATTTATTTCTCGCCTCCTTTTTCCTTTTTTTTGCTATTTTTCCCGATTTTTGCAGTAACCTTGCCCCCATCTACGATCCACCCCTCTCTCCCCAACTGGCATACTGAGCGACCCGCCGAATCCACCATGATAAATTCAGTCTCCCGTAAATTAGAAGCCTCGGAATCCGCTGAGCAGATCCCGGAAAACCCTGAACAATATTGTTCGGGACCCTATTCCCCACAACCCCACGAAATTTTATGCATAAGGGTGCATACCGGAATCCTGTAGGCTAATTAATAGCCACGAGGAAATTTCCTGTACGATCTCCACTTGATGCGCGTAGCCACTCGATTGCTTCGATGGCGCCACGAGGGAGAACCACTGACCTTTCGTTGGCCGTGAATAATCTCACAAAAATCGGCCGTAAAAATACGTTCGGACCCCCAAAATCGTACCAATAACCTCCCAACCGCACTGGGGGAAAATATATGCCGAAATTGATCGGAAAATTCCCCCACAAAACCTCTAAAACCATCCAAAATTTTGGGGGACACAACCGACGCCATTTCCATGGCTCGGAAAATTACCATAACCGCCAACAATTTTCTGGGGAGTCGCCAAAGGGGAAAAATGGACCAAAATAATCCGTAAACTTACGATGGATCCCCTGGGTGCCTTCCTCTTCCTCTTTTGGACAATCCTGGGTGGAATTGGGGAATCCCGGAAAAAATATCCCAGGGAAAAAATATCCCACACATTCAAAACGTGTTAAAACTCGCGCAATTTAATTATTTTTTAATTTAATTATTTTTTTCGTTGTCTATTTTTTCAGGGGCTCTAATTTTCCTATGGTCTATCAAATTGGGTGGGTTTTAACACGTTTTGGGTGTGTGGGCTATTTTTTCCGGGGATATTTTTTCCGCCTACCGAATTGGGTGTCCTCGGTGGTCCTGGAATGTTCTCGGTGGTGCACTGTATCACTCACGTATTCACTCGCGTATTTCCTCTTCCACCGTCGAGGCGTACCTGATTTTCGGAGGTCAGTGTTCCGCGACGCTGACCTCTCCTAATCACGCCTACCAATCGATTGGTTGATGATTAGTGGATCTGTCTGCCCTATTCCGGGCGAAGTCCTTCGCGGGGGAATTAATTTAAATTTGAATTAATTCCCAATCCTAAAATTAATCTATCACCCTCATTTCTTCAGGATCGGTTCTCCTGGGTTCTCGGGGCCAAAAGACCTTTATTCCTAACCCTTACACATAATTTTATCTCACTAACCCGTAATTTATTCGGTAATCCGCCGGGATAACGACTGATTTTATCCCGAGCGGTCTTCCACCCGTAACCAGTCTTGGCAATCCGCCGGAGTAATTATAACTTTTGCCCCGTACGACCTTCCACCCGTAATAATCGATCCCCAAAAACCCTTTTTCGTGGAGCGCCGGCTTTTCAGCCGGACTTCCCGATCCGGAGGGCTTACCCTATCCTTCTCCTAAAATCCCCCTAACCCTGAACCTAATGACGCCTAAACCACCCCAAAAAGGGGATTCCTAATTTAGCCTAAACCTAACCCGTCTTCTAATTGTCTCACTCCCTCTCTAAATTCTTCTCGGGGGTCCTAACGGGCCTCCCCGATGCTCGTTACAATTTTCAAAACAAAATTTCAAGTTGAAAGACTGATTTCAAGAAATCAAAGTACATACTAAGATGTGAGCATTTTGTATAGGTGTTCTGAAGCATAGCATCAATTCATTGGTGACAATGAGAAATTGAAGAAATCATTCAATCGGTGTCATGTGCTCAGGACGTCTGCTTCTTTCAACGGCATTCTTCATTAGCTGCCTAACAATTTTCAATGTAAAGAGTTGTTAGTGCCGGGCAACTGTGCACTAAGCGACGAATTCTGTGAACCCTCTAAAATTGCGTCATAATATACCTCTAGGAATTATAATGAGTGAATCAGATTGCATTTAATTTGAAATAAATATAAATATTTGACTGATCTTTGTGAATTATTCATTTCTAGGCACATTTTATTATTCACAACACAATGAGATGGACACACGATTCTTTTTTTAATTTCTAGCAGTAGAAGATGTTCAAAATGGATGGAAGGCTCTTCAATTATTGTCTGAACGTTATTTATGTTTCTCCACTAATATTTGAACAGTTTATTTACTTGAAACTTGAAAATCTTCAAAATGAATGGCAATTTATTAATAAAATGTTGAAAACTTCCCAAAATTAAAAATTTTTAATTCAAATTGCCAAATGCAAACATACTAATAGATTATAGAAATGCACTAGGGAATAGCATTAGTTATGTTGAGACCGTGATGGAAACATCTTTTATTTGCATTGACCACGCTCAATATCTCTTTCAACCGGTTTTAGGATAACATTTTTGAAGAATTTTTCGAGAAACCTATCCAGAACGTTCCTCTGATTATATTATATACTGTCTTTACTATGAGACTTACGGTAAAAAATTGTATTATTCATACTCTCTTCAAAAAGTCAATTTTTAGTTACACTTTGAAACGTCTAAAACTATGTTGTATTAGCCAGATATTAATTTATGGAACTGAATTCATATTTCACATTTCATTTTTCCGTTTTCATGAAAACAAAACGAAAATTCACGTATAACGGAATAAAACTATATAATTCTAATGTTTAAACCATATAATTATTGCTACTCGCAAAAAACTGTCAGAATTTCATTCTTACATATGTGAAAATGTTGTGACCGTCTTTAAACGAAGTAAAATAGAACAGTGAAAAAGGATAGTGATTACGTAATAACTAACAACTTTAGCAGGTCAGGCTAATGAATCTAAGAGCATCAACATTACAGATAGTGATTAAAAAAACTAATTCGACAGGTACGATATTATTAAGATATTTTGCGCAAATTAATTCACGCTTAACATATATTAATCAACTGAATCTAAGTTGCAGTTTATCTTAATTAATTAAGTCCCTAAACTTCTTCAGCGAAAATAAAATGGAATATAAAACTAAGTACATTAACAAAACAAATAATGTTCTGCAATATTTTCAAATGCAGAGGTATTATTGACTCATTTATTTCAACCAACGATTGCCCGCACCCGCAAATTGCCTGATAATATGAAACATTGTTATAAATACTTCCTCGTTTTTTTTTCTTCAGTTTAATAAGAATGTTAAAATGGAACACTGAATACTTATATCTAAGCCATACTTTTAGGTAACGATCGATATTTCATAATCAGAGATTGTTATCCCATTTGTGCATCCATTTCACTTTTACAGTCTTCCATTCCAAGTATGTAAGGCACAACACTTGCTACGCTTACTCTACCAATGAGACCAGCGAAGAAGAGGTCCTCGAGAATGCGTGGGTTGATTGAACGGAGTGGTGCAAGTTTCAATAATAACCTAGGAAGCCTTTGTGGTCCCACACGTTGCTGTAGTTCACTCCAAGTAGCTTCCTGAAGAATCTCTACTTTTTTATGCCACGTATCTGCCAGAATATTATCTGTAATAATAAAAAAAAAAGAGAGTAACGTTTTTTGTCACTGGTCGATTGCTACTATACACGCCTATGCATGTATAGGATGTGGGAACCGCTGGATTACTGTGGATATATGTATATATATATGAATTGTCTTTTTTTGGTTATGGTCACCAAAATTTCCATACATTATCCGTACTCTTTCGTTAGACTCACCAAAATATATCATACATAAATACGACCGAGACAACCAAATATTCGCTATGAAAAAATTATTGCAAGCATTTCATGACATTCTGCAGGGTCTAAAGGTGAAGGCTAACTGATTCCGTTCTGAAAGCCTTGACTGTCGGTGGTTAATAGGTGGACGGAAGCGAAATTTTTCCGATACATTGATGAATTCCACACTTCTTCAAAAACACTGTTGTAATTTTTGGATAAATTTCATCAGCCTTTATCATATCAGTTCAATGTATACATAGGTGAAGGGAAATCTAATTTCTGTCAAACTTGAAAAACTCGTATCAAGTCACCAAAATAACCAGTCGAGGCTGTATTGGCCAATTTTGTAACTGGCACCGGAACGATCGGTATAGTACATACCGTATACTTTGATGGCACAATCGCCGAGCTCACTAATTAGTAATCATTGTAATATATATAGCCAGAAAACCGGTATTGAATCATGAAAAACAAACAGCATGGAAATACAGGCTTAGCAGAAGTTTATTGTGCTTACAGAAGAGTAGAACACAACAATTTTTATCCCCTAGACTGGTTCAAGATAATTGAAATTCGATTTGACATATTAAATACCACTGAAGTAAAAAATGAGATTCCTGATTGGAACATCAATTTTTATTAGATCGATTCTATCTTCTATGCTTTCATAAACTCGGAGAATCTGGGCATTATATTTAGGAATAGGAGTAAAGAGCATGTAAGGTGTCATATACTATGATAAATCAATGTAGATTGAGAAGGAATTAGCTCCATGTTCTCTACGATGCCCACTTTGGTGATACGGTACCAATACCTAAAACCATTCTAACAATGATACCAATTAGAGAAATTTCAATTCATAGCAACTGATAAAACCTTTAGGCGATGATAAGAGTAATGACAGTAAAATCGTATCTTTTGATGTCCATTCTGAGTAATTATTTGTGTGCATAAAATTAGAGCATGTCAGCATTAATTTAATTCGAGGAAGCGATGTGTCCAAGAAATTTCGCCAAATTAGAAAAGTATAAATATGAAATAGAGAAATACCAATGATTCTAATATCAATTGTGAGAATTTTGTTCCCGCGCCCCCGCCCCTTACCCTGTCACCTAATTAATTCATCCTATTTTTCGTAGTTTAAGTTACGTTTAAGTTACTCTTTTTCGCCACCGTTTGGCAATCCATACCCAGAAATTCGTTACCCCTGTCCCTATTTTCCCTCGCCGCAGCACTCACGCATCAACGAAGAGAACCCCACGTGACCCCGAAAGAAAGAAGACGTCCCGCAAGAAAGAGAAGGACAGCCGATAACGGGTGCCCCCGACTGACCACGATTACCCACGATAATCGATGAAGAAATCAGGATGATTAACAGCCATCACTCGTGCCACAGCTGCCCCATGAGTTCCTGAGCTCAATAACAGAGAGGAATTATTGAGAGGAGAGGAATTAGTGTGGAGAGATCCTGTGAAGGGACCCTGTGAAGAGACATTGGTGAAGTCGATTTGTATCAGAAGAGAGGCTCGTGTGGAGTTCTGTGAAGTTGGACAAGTTCGAAGAGTTTACTCAGGAGGAGAAAGAAGGAAGGAAGGAGGAAAATACCCCAGGACTGCCGAAAGGAGAGTTGGCGACTTCATCACCCGTGAGTGCCCCATTTTTATTCCCTGCCCCAACGAACTGCCCTGCCACATATTAATCTCCCCCCAACGGTGAGTCTCCATGAAATTTTCTTCTGTTGTCAGTGAAGCCCCCTATTAATTATTACTTTTCCAGTCGGCCCTCCCCTACCTTACCCCTTTTGCAGATTTAGAGTCCCATTCCTTACACCCTTTCTGTGTTATTGTATTGTGCGTAGTCGCAAGTGAGTTGGCCTTACCCCCCACCCTCGAGTTAATTATCAGTCAAAAGGCCTGGATTATTTTGTGTGTTAATGTTGTTGGACCGAGACGTGAAATACAGAGTATCAATCTATAAAGATCCCCCCGAGTCATCATTTATGACCTCCCTCCCTGTTAGTATTTCAGATACCCTCCTAATTTTTCGCGTTATAATGAATTCCAGAATATTGTGTCTTCGTTGGGAATTATTTCATACTAGAGATGAACGCGCGCTACGCGTCCGTTTTGTTACTTTTGTGGTGCTACTACATGAGTTTCCATTTCATTTTTCGGCGATAGGGTTGAAGCTCGTCCTCTCGACAACACAAAATCCTAAATCCGTAAAACCAAAACCGTGAACCACACTAGTCCACACTAAAGCCGATGACGAAGGGAACGGAAGCGGGGAAGCCTGGGGTCGCTCAGGATGCTAGATCGTCGGGAGAGGGTCGGGGTCCACTGATACGAGAGTCCAATAACCGAACCATGAAATAAAGAGAGTAACGAGATTAGGCTCGGGACTCCGAGAGCATACTTGCGGGAATCCGAGGCGCGGAGGGCGACCTATAGAACTAATTCGCCGAGAGCGCGGCAAAAGATAGCGGAGTACCGGTAGGCCGAGAGGATGGGCTTACCCAGGGAGAGGATGGCTCTCACCCAGAGAACGCCACCGGGGGGATATGGCTCTTATCTAGAGGACACCACCCGAGGAGAGTATTGCTCTCACTCAGAGAGTGTTACCAGGGAGAGGATAATCCTCGCCTAGGGAACGACGAAGACCAATGCAGGGCATTGGGAGCCTCCTAAGGGCTCGGAAGGTAGCTGCCAGTGGTCCGCACTGGGAGCCAGCCGAAGCAGCTCTGCCGAGTGAGTGAGCAGTGTCGGCAGTAGTGCCGATGCCCCCCCTCTCTCGAGTACGGCTGGGTGAACTGCACTGATCTCTATGTAACTGGATAGGCTATCCATATGCCCCCACTACGCCGACACTGAGGCAGTACTGTGGGACAAGCAGCGCCTCAGAATAGTAGCTCAAGTACTACAGTGCCCTTGACTGCGCATCCGCGTCACCCAATGGAGGGTGATCACGGATAAACATGCTTCTCCCCTTCCACTGACAACTGCGCTGAGCATGCGCACTTGATAGAACTTTAGTTTTCGGACTACTATTCAGAGGCGCTGATTGATTTTCAAATCGGCCTCACCAGGGGAATACGCGATAGTCTATCCAGATATATAGAAATCAGTGATGAACTGCCGTGTGCCGGGACGTTCCCTGATATCCCTGACATTAGCCTTTTCTGGAGCGCGCCGAATTCGAAGGTCGCCACTGACCCCTTCGAAGGATCAGCCTCTCGAATGCCCACCCCATCTAACGTGGAGCGCATGGCCGACGTACAGGCGTTCCAACTGGGTGGTTCTGAAGGGCGCCGTCGATTTAGACCAGGAACAAACGGCTAGGTGATCCCATCGAGGGGATTGCTGGCGGTGGGGTAACGTATGACCCACAGATACCGAGAGGTTCAGACTAGAGCGAGGAGGCCCTCGGAGATCTCGAGACAGTCGCAGTTGAGTGCTGGTTTCGAGCGGATGCTTTGGGAGCTCGGTGTTCCCAATCGTAGATTGAGATAGCGAGAGATGGGGACATTTATGCTTCCCCGACTAGCGAAATGGATTGCTTTGTCGCTGCGGAACGAACGGTTTCGGTCGCAGACACCCATCTCCAGGGTGAAATTCATGGTGTCGGGGTGGATCTAGGGTTGGGAATCGAGTCGATTCCCGTCGGCCCGATCGCACGTGCCTCCGTCAGAAGTAGCTCTGGTTTTGGCTCGCGATGAGATTGATATTCCTAAGCATACTCTAGTTGGGGTGCACATTAGGTGGGTGAGAAAGGTCTCCGGATGCCAATGTCGCATGTGCCTTGAGATGTTTAGCGCCTTGCGGGGTGAGGAGGATTCGCAGGTAATCTGTGTCACGTTCCGGGTCGAGCCACCCTGGAGGAGAATGGAAGACATGTGAGGGGTAGCCAGATCCCTCCGCGAAAGACCTGGGTGGTACGTTCCCTTAAAAGTCTCGCGTTACGATGCCGCAACTGCGGCTAATGTAGGTAACCGGAGTTACTCAGACGCTGGTGAACTTCGCCCACTCTACCGTGTCATGCTGATGCTGGCTCGGCATTGTGAGACCCGCCACCGAATGTCCGCGGAGTCGACGAACTCCTTCGCGGCTGGTTTCCGTCAGGTTTTCCATGAAAACCTGGCTGGCGCCCAATCGTGAACGATAGAGACGACAGCCAGAATAGTTTCGAGGATTTAACTCGGGATGTTGACCCGGAGAAAATCCTCTTACACACCATAGTAGACGAATGGCATCATATGCATGGTCTCATATCTATATTTGCATTTTCTTTCTTGTTATTACATTCCATGCGTAAAGAACGATTCTTATCACCAAGAACAAACAATAAAATTTGAATTGATAAATGCTGGATATAACTGAGGTAACATGGAAAATTCATGATTAGCAAATGCCATGTTTCATGATTCATGAGTAGCTTTACCATATTTTTTACGATTTTATAAACTTAGAAAACACGAGAATCAATGGTATTCTATTCAGAAATGAAAATGGAGACCATGCATCATCGCATCGTTTTTGACTACTTCGTAAAGAGTCAGAAAAAATCAACTGCATGTATGATCGAACGGCCAATTTGGTGACATGTTGCCAATGCATGCAAATGGCAGGATCAAATACAAAGGTAAAGATTATCATTCCTATTAGAATAGGTCCTGCTGTTTTAAAAAATGTAAAAAGTAACTACAAAATAATTGAAAACCTGGATGTCCATGTAGGAGGCCAGTAATAGACAAATGGCTAAATAGCCATATATATATATACATATATATATATGTATATCCATAG